CTTGAGGGGCCTGCGCTTCATTGATTTCCTTTTCCAGTGAACTGCAGGCTCACCACAGCACTCGTCTTCCAACACGGCAAATGAATTTGAAGTCCTTAGAGCGTTTGTAGGTGGCCTTGTCAAGGTCCTCTTACGACCCCTGTCCTTTACGACTTTCCACAACGAGGTCTTTTTAATATTGGTCTCCTACTTCGTTTCTTCTCGATGTTGTTTCAGCTGTCGTACGTCCTCTCGTAGGGAATCCATCTCTGCTCTCAGAATTCCAACTAGATTCATCAGTTCCTTCACTAATCCTTCCATTATTGCTATAATAATGTTACTACAATCGGAGTTCCAGCTAACACAACCTCTCACTGTAACTGCGCCTGATTTTATTCTGCATTTCATTCCATATCGTTCACTCCAGTACGTTGTTATTTTACTGTGTAGACTTGGGACCTGGCCTTCCAGTATTTTCCATGTGTATATTATTTGATATCTTTCTCGTCTTCTTTCTAGTGAGTGCATTTGGAGAGCTTTGAGACGCTCTCAATAATTAAGGTGCTTTATTGAGTCTATGTATGCAAAAATGCAAAGATTTTTATGATGTTTGATATTAGTGCTATTCGGTCTGTAATTTTTTGAATCCACTTTACTGCCTCCTTTGTGGAGTGGCGCAATCTCTGATGCTTTATGTGTGTCAGGAATAACACCAATTTCTAGGCTCAGTCTCCAAATAATGTATTGAGCCTCCTTTTTTTTTTAATTTTTGATGAATATTGAATTTGAGGAGTGTGGAGCTGGAAGGCAGAGGACGGGGCCATGCTGTATACAACCACTACAAAGTTCAGCGAGGGTAATGGAGGCGTCTGAGATAAGAATCACATTGTGTCCTCATGCAATGTTTTCTTCATTTCTTTGTTGTCACCTGTGAAAATTCCATCACCCTTGCTCAAGGGCTCATTACTAGATGCAGTTCTGCTCTGAACTTTGCACACAAGAAATATATTGAGTTCCTCTCGATTTCACTGAAGGTCTTTTGCTCTCTCTCTCTCTCTCTGCCTCTACTAGATTCTGTACGACTCTTGCAGCTTCTATTTCTTTATGTAATCTTTGCTGTGGAAAGGGAAAATGTGGGCCACTCAGTAGTTCAGAAATTGGATTCCACCTTCAACAGAAACAGAGTGCCGTTCCGTCTACAGAAACAGAGTGCCGTTCCGTCTACAGAAACAGAGTGCCGTTCCGTCTACAGAAACAGAGTGCCGTTCCGTCTACAGAAACAGAGTGCGGTTCCGTCTACAGAAACAGAGTGCCGTTCCGTCTACAGAAACAGAGTGCCGTTCCGTCTACAGAAACAGAGTGCCGTTCCGTCTACAGAAACAGAGTGCGGTTCCGTCTACAGAAACAGAGTGCCGTTCCGTCTACAGAAACAGAGTGCCGTTCCGTCTACAGAAACAGAGTGCCGTTCCGTCTACAGAAACAGAGTGCCGTTCCGTCTACAGAAACAGAGTGCGGTTCTCGTTATAATTTGCGACTTTTTCTCACATTCCATACTGCAGGAAGGGTAACCAGCAGTCCCCGGGTCTGTCTCCTCCTCCCCACCTTTCATTTCTCTCTCTCCCCTCTATTACACTCATTTCCCCCTCTCCACCAGTCTTTCCCCCCTCTGTCCTTCCCTCTCTTCAATCACCCCGCCTCATTCCTCTTCTCCATCCTTCTCTCCCTATCTCTGGCTTCTGTCTGTCTCATGCTCAATCAGTCTCTCTTCCATTCTGTCTGTCTGTCATTTTGTTGGCTCCCTATAAAAATATAATACTGAACCATTGGTGGCGTGTGGGTAGTCTGTCAGTAGGAGAAGCGTAGGCAGTGTGAGAATACAAAAAAATAGTAATAGTAACCTATTTGCTTCGAGAAAGGGGGTGGGGCTTGTGAAGGCCTTGAAGCTTTCATGGTGGGAGGATTACCTGGTTTATGCTACTACGGAAAAGGTATGAATAGCAGAAATTTTATGTTCATTTTCCCGAGGTCACTGAATAATGGTGTATATTACTATAAGAAAAAATTGTTTTGAAATTTGATTTTTTCAATTTATTTAGCTGTTTACTCGCCGGGCAGTGCCATGATCACGAGTGAGGGGGGGGGCAGAATGTGCCGCTGTTTACTCGCCGGGCAGTGCCATGATCAGGAGTGAGGGGAGGGGGGGGGGGGCAGAATGTGCCCCTGGCACGCTGTTCCCTCTTGAAATGTAGCGACCCCGACCGTCGTATGTCCGTCCTATACCCCAGACTCTTCCCCTAGCAAAGTTTAGTAAAGGCAGCTCCAAGCATCTGCCTTCCAACCCTGGACAGACAGATAGTCATTTTCTCTTATAGATATATATTAGCATATAACTTGAGCGTATGTCTAGTGCCAAAGTGTCTATTGTTTAGAGACACTGGCTTATGTTTTAATTATTCAACTCTTCTTCCCAGTTTATTTATCTGAGGAATTGGTTAATTAGTTCCTAATTAATAAGCTCAATAATAACGTTGATTTTGTTGAAGTCTGCTGCTGTGGGAAGTGAGAGAGCGCACAGGTCTTGTGTCTACACTGTTCCGAACATCGATTACGTTGTGATATGAGTAATGTGTTTGGGATTAATTATGTTCCTTATTGTTGTTCGTGAAAATCAGCTCTTGGTGTTTTTTCCTTTCGTGTTGGTTTCTACTATTTGAGAGTTTATGGCAAATCTGGTACACATTCGTAAGTTGTCATTTGTGCTTGACGGTTCATTTCGGCCACTTCCTGGGACTCTCTCTCTGATATATAACTCCCATACCCCACACCATTCACCCTGCAAAGTTCAGTGAGGCTAGCCCCAGGCATCTACCCCCCAACCTTAGACAGACAGATAGTCATTTGTCACTTTTCCCACCATTTTAGGGGCCGTAAGTAGAAGCCAACAAGCACGGCGATGTTTGGGACTAATGAGTGAGGTTTTTCTAATCAATGTTATAATTTCGACAATCACCACATTTAGGATTTCTAATTTTGGTTATCAAAATTTCCACCATATCATTTGTGGTGTTGAGCAGCTCGGTGCAGATGAGTGTGTCTTTGATGTACAGGCTGCTCCCACCCTGTAGTCTGTGTTTCCTCTCACATCTGAAAAACTCAATTCTAGTAGTTATATCTCAGTTATTGTAGTGGCAGTCAGTCAAGGGTCAAGGTTTGTCAGCTTCAGTCAAGGGTCAAGGTTTGTCAGCTTCCGTCAAGGGTCAAAACAAACACCCACAAGACCGCAATGTTTGTCTCACAGAGGAGACCAATAAGATGGTCATTATTTATTTTTTGCGTGTTTTGGTATATAGTATGTTAGTAAATACTTACGAGTTCAGTGTTTTCTTCAGCCTGATTTCAGCCTCGGCCACCACAGCGCAATTTCATAGTCTCCGAAGGCTGCAGGATGCCTACTACTACTGCTACTACGATTTCAGTGTGTTTGTAGCAGTTTTTTCTTTGTGTTAATGTGTGTGGATGAGGTGGAGTGTGCTTGGGTGCTTGTGTCCTGGCTGGCAATGGACTGTGGTTGTGGCATAGCTCCCACACTTCCAGTCATGCCTCTTATTTTCTCATCCTCTTGCTTTAACAATCTCCGTGGTATGAGCTTTGGCTCCTTCCTTACTGGCATTGCTGATGTTTATTGGGGTTTGTTCTCCTGGCTCTTGTGACATGAAATGTTGGACAGACTCTTGCATATTACTCGCTATTATTGGATGAGCCCTTACCCAGTGCTGGGGGGGAAAGTATGCAGTTTTGGGAATTATATTTACTGTACTTAGAACATTTCTGCATTCTTTGGAGTGATCATATCTACATATTCCGTTAATTCTCCCTAATAGCCAGATTCTTAATACCTTACAGGTTCTAAGTCTGTGATTGCTCTTTCTCTTCTTCTTTCCATACACTATTGACTCTTTGATTGTAATTATGGGTAGGGATTCTAATGGATCTCCAGGGCGCATGGCGTACATGTTATGCCCCCAATTACCCCACTGGTGGCACCCAGGGCACATACTTGCCATACCCTAGATACCCCCACTGGTGGCACCCAGGGCACATACTTGCCATACCCTAGATACCCCCACTGGTGGCACCCAGGGCACATACTTGCCATACCCTAGATACCCCCACTGGTGACGCCCAGAGCGCGTGCCATAGTTGCCATGCAATAGATACCCGACGGGTGGGAAATATAGAACACATTGAGGGCTAGGCAAGGAGACAGTTGCTGAGACTAGGCTTGCAGCTCACTAGGAAAGGTTGTACAGCCTGGATAGTATCGTGGCGCGAGGACACGCAACAAGGGAGGTGATAAGACGAGCACTTGCAGGCTGTGACGTGAGAGAGAGAGAGAACAGACCCGAGCCTTTGTTAACCCCTAACTATAGTAGAAACCCCCCAGCATCCCTGGACCCTCCGAGCTGGGGTAAGCGGTCCAGAAGACCTGTCTTAACTAGCGTGTCAGACAAGCAGGAGACACGCACAGCGTTAACACACTGCTTCATTGCCAGCCCGGTAACCTAAGGTCTCCTAACCTCAAGAAACTGTCGTGTTAAAGTGTCCTTATCCTAACCTACCACACGACCCAAAACAGAAAACGGGACAGTATGTCAATGTCGCGAGCAGCCGCCATATTCTAGTACGACGATGTTTGGCCTTAGGTGGAGAATACGTCAAAATGCGACGTTCTATTAGGCGGACCGCTTGTCATAACATGCAATATAAGTAAGAAAACAATAAGACACAATTATTATTGTATTTCTTAAAATAAATACCCCCTTCCCTCCCCCTCCCCTCCCCCTCCCCTTCCCCTCCCCTTCCCCTCCCCTCCCCCTCCCCTCCCCCTCCCCTCCCCTCCCCTTCCCTTCGATATCCTGACGTAGCGTTTAAACGGGGGAGAGACGCAGACAGAGAGGGGAAGAAACGCAGACAGAGAGGGACAGAGAAGCAGACAGAGAGGGGAAGGAGGTTGTACTCACTTGCGCCGCCGTAACTTCCTGGTTCTGGTCCTGACTCTGATGTTCCTGGAGGCGTTGATGAGGGTGTCGTCCTTATACCAGAGGACCTGCGGGAGGGGGGCGCCCTGCACCGTGCACTCCAGCGTCAGGTTGTAGTTCTCTACCACCGAGTCGTCCTGCAGCCCGCTCACGCCCAGCGCCTCGCCTGCAACACACACAACACTGTCTTAGTCACAACACAACCTCCCCACCACACCCAGCACCACACCCACAACACCCAGCACCTCACCCACAACACCCAGCACCTCCCAACCACACCCAGCACCTCACCCACAACACCACAACCCCCCACCACACCCAGCACTTCACCCAGAACCTCACCCACAACACCACAACCTCCCCACCACACCCAGCACCTCACCCACCACACCACAACCTCCCCACCACACCCAGCACCTCACCCACCACACCACAACCTCCCCCACCACACCCAGCACCTCACCCACAACACCACAACCTCCCCACCACACCCAGCACCTCACCCACCACACCACAACCTCCCCCACCACACCCAGCGCCTCCCCACCACACCCAGCGCCTCCCCACCACACCCAGCACCTCCCCACCACACCCAGCGCCTCCCCACCACACCCAGCGCCTCCCCACCACACCCAGCACCTCCCCACCACACCCAGCACCTCACCCACAACACCACAACCCCCCACCACACCCAGCACCTCACCCACCACACCACAACCTCCCCACCACACCCAGCACCTCACCCACCACACCACAACCCCCCCCACCACACCCAGCACCTCACCCACAACACCACAACCTCCCCACCACACCCAGCACCTCACCCACAACACCACAACCTCCCCCACCACACCCAGCACCTCACCCACAACACCACAACCCCCCCCCCACCACACCCAGCACCTCACCCACAACACCACAACCCCCCCCCACCACACCCAGCACCTCACCCACCACACCACAACCTCCCCCACCACACCCAGCACCTCACCCACAACACCACAACCCCCCCCCACCACACCCAGCACCTCACCCACCACACCACAACCTCCCCCACCACACCCAACACCTCACCCACAACACCACAACCTCCCCACCACACCCAGCACCTCACCCACAACACCACAACCCCCCCCCCCACCACACCCAGCACCTCACCCACCACACCACAACCTCCCCACCACACCCAACACCTCACCCACAACACCACAACCCCCCCCACCACACCCAGCACCTCACCCACAACACCACAACCCCCCCCCCCCCACCACACCCAGCACCTCACCCACAACACCACAACCCCCCCCCCCACCACACCCAGCACCTCACCCACAACACCACAACCTCCCACCACACCCAGCACCTCACCAACAACACCACAACCCCCCCACCACACCCAGCACCTCACCCACAACACCACAACCTCCCCACCACACCCAGCACATCACCCACAACACCACAACCTCCCCACCACACCCAGCACCTCACCCACAACACCACAACCCCCCACCACACCCAGCACCTCACCCACAACACCACAACCCCCCCCACCACACCCAGCACCTCACCCACAACACCACAACCTCCCCACCACACCCAGCACCTCACCCACAACACCACAACCCCCCCCCCATACCCAGCACCTCACCCACAACACCACAACCCCCCCCCCCCACACACCCAGCACCTCACCCACAACACCACAACCCCCCCCCACACCCAGCACCTCACCCACCACACCACAACCCCCCACCACACCCAGCACCTCACCCACAACACCACAACCTCCCCACAACACCCAGCACCTCACCCACAACACCACAACCTCCCCACCACACCCAGCACCTCACCCACAACACCATAACCCCCCACCACACCCAGCACCTCACCCACCACACCACAACCTCCCCACCACACCCAGCACCTCACCCACAACACCACAACCCCCGCCCACCACACCCAGCACCTCACCCACAACACCACAACCCCCCACCACACCCAGCACCTCACCCACAACACCACAACCTCCCCACCACACCCAGCACCTCACCCACAACACCACAACCCCCCACCACACCTAGCACCTCACCCACAACACCACAACCCCCCACCACACCCAGCACCACACCCAGCACCTCACCCACAACACCACAACCCCCCACCACACCCAGCACCACACCCAGCACCTCACCCACAACACCACAACCTCCCCCCCCACAACACCCATTACCTCGCCCACAACACCACAACCTCCCACCACACCCAGCACCACACCCACAACACCACAACCCCCCCCACCACACCCAGCACCTCCCCCACACACACCACAACCCCCCCCCCACCACACCCAGCACCTCACCCACCACACCACAACCTCCCCACCACACCCAGCACCTCACCCACAACACCACAACCTCCCCACCACACCCAGCACCTCACCCACAACACCACAACCTCCCCACCACACCCAGCACCTCACCCACAACACCACAACCCCCCCACCACACCCAGCACCTCACCCACAACACCACAACCCCACACCACACCCAGCACCTCACCCACAACACCACAACCTCCCCACCACACCCAGCACCTCACCCACAACACCACAACCCCCCCCCCCCCCACCACACCCAGCACCTCACCCACAACACCACAACCTCCCCACCACACCCAGCACCTCACCCACAACACCACACCCTCCCCACCACACCCAGCACCTCACCCACAACACCACAACCTCCCCACAACACCCAGCACCTCCCCACCACACCACAACCTCCCCACCACACCACAACCACCCCACCACACCACAACCTCCCCACCACACCCAGCACCTCACCCACAACACCACACCCTCCCCACCACACCCAACACCTCACCCACAACACAACAACCTCCCCACCACACCCAGCACCTCCCCACCACACCACAACCTCCCCACAACACCCAGCACCTCACCCACAACACAACAACCTCCCCACCACACCCAGCACCTCCCCACAACACCACAACCTCCCCACCACACCCAGCACCTCCCCACCACACCCAGCACCTCCCCACCACACCACAACCTCCCCACCACACCCAGCACCTCCCCACCACACCACAACCTTCCCACCACACCCAGCACCTCCCCACCACACCACAACCTCCCCCACCACACCCAGCACCTCCCCACCACACCACAACCTCCCCACAACACCCAGCACCACCCCACCACACCACAACCTCCCCACAACACCCAGCACCTCCCCACCACACCACAACCTCCCCACCACACCACAACCTCCCCACAACACCCAGCACCTCACCCACAACACCACAACCTCCCCACAACACCCAGCACCTCCCCACCACACCACAACCTCCACACAACACCCAACACCTCACCCACAACACCACAACCTCCCCACAACACCCAGCACCTCACCAACAACACCACAACCTCCCCACAACACCACAACCTCCCCACCACACCCAGCACCTCACCCACAACACCACAACCACCCCACCACACCCAACACCTCACCCACCACCACCCAGCACCTCCCCACCACACCACAACCTCCCCACCACACCCAGCACCTCACCCACAACACCACAACCTCCCCACAACACCCAGCACCTCCCCACCACACCACAACCTCCCCACCACACCACAACCTCCCCACCACACCCAGCACCTCACCCACAACACCACAACCTCCCCACCACACCCAGCACCTCCCCACAACACTACAACCTCCCCACCACACCACAACCTCCCCACCACACCCAGCACCTCACCCACAACACCACAACCTCCCCATAACACCACAACCTCCCCACCACACCCAGCACCTCACCCACAACACCACAACCTCCCCACCACACCACAACCTCCCCACAACACCACAACCTCCCCACCACACCCTGCACCTCACCACAACACCACAACCCCCTACCACACCCAGCACCTCACCCACAACACCACAACCTCCCCACCACACCCTGCACCTCCCCACAACACCACAACCCCCTACCACACCCAGCACCTCACCCACAACACCACAACCTCCCCACCACACCCAGCACCTCACCCACCACACCACAACCTCCCCACCACACCCTGCACCTCCCCACAACACCACAACCTCCCCACCACACCACAACCTCCCCACAACACCACAACCTCCCCACAACACCACAACCTCCCCACCACACCCTGCACCTCCCCACAACACCACAACCTCCCCACCACACCCAGCACCTCCCCACCACACCACAACCTCCCCACAACACCACAACCTCCCCACCACACCCAGCACCTCACCCACAACACCACAACCTCCCCACAACACCCACCACCTCCCCACCACACCACAACCTCCCCACAACACCCAGCACCTCACCCACAACACCACAACCTCCCCACCACACCCAACACCTCTCCCACAACACCCAGCACCTCCCCACCACACCACAACCTCCCCACCACACCCAGCACCTCCCCACAACACCACAACCTCCCCACCACACCCAGCGCCTCCCCACAACACCCAGCACCTCACCCACCACACCACAACCTCCCCACAACACCCAGCACCTCACCCACCACACCACATCCTCCCCACCACACCCAGCACCTCCCCACAATACCACAACCTCCCACCACACCCAGCACCTCCCCACAACACCACAACCTCCCCACCACACCCAGCACCTCCCCACAACACCCAGCACCTCACCCACAACACCACAACCTCCCCACCACACCCAGCACCTCCCCACAACACCCAGCACCTCACCCACAACACCACAACCTCCCCACAACACCCAGCACCTCACACACAACACCACAACCTCCCCACCACACCCAGCACCTCCCCACAACACCCAGCACCTCCCCACAACACCACAACCTCCCCACCACACCCAGCACCTCACCCACAACACCACAACCTCCTACCACACCCAGCACCTCACCCACAACACCACAACCTCCCCCACCACACCCAGCACCTCCCCACAACACCACAACCTCCCCACCACACCCAGCACCTCACCCACAACACCACAACCTCCTACCATACCCAGCACCTCACCCACAACACCACAACCTCCTACCACACCCAGCACCTCACCCACAACACCACAACCTCCCCACCACACCCTGCACCTCAC